TTTATTATCAATGTTGGAAACGTCTTTGCTGCTTAATATTATTTTGGAACCTGTGATGCTTTTTTTAGGATTCTTTGATGAATAAAGTTTAAAAGAACAACATTTATCCAAAATAGAAATGTTTTTAACAATATAAGGCTTTACTATTGATACCCTGAATTATATAACATTTCTATATATGCAAAAATAGTAGCTATCTATTCTGCTGTTTGGCTATTTTCTGTTATTTCCGTTATTGCATCACATCTCAAAAGCACCTCTCGAGACCCTCGCGTTCTGCACTGCACTTTTCTAAAACCATTCCTGAGTGCTGCGTCTGGCGTTTTTAGACGCAAAGACACGTTCTGTGTAAACGGCCCTTTAGAGAGGCAGTAAAGTCATGATGACACCATAACGCCGGTGGTCAAGGACGTTGGACAGAGGGTCACAGTGGAACAGAGTTACAGGAGCCCTCAACAATGACCTGTACAAGGCCCCAGAATCCCTAGCGACGATGAGCACGAGCATTAGTCATACAAATGATGCAGCCATGACACACTGCACTATCACTGCTACAGTTCAACACTCGCTGCTGTCAGTGTAAAGCTCAAGCCATTTCAACACCAAACACCACATCAGATATAGGCTGCGACTACACTAGCACAAACTCACTTCTGACACAGTTTGGATATTATTGCACACGTGTAAACACAAAGATACAATTCTGATCCACTCCCAGGTGGTTTAAATTCAGATACATATCCGATATCTGGACATCTGACCTATGTCTGAACACACACACTGCCATTCAAAAGTTAGATTTTTAATGTTTTTTAAAGAAGTCTCTTATGCTCAGTAAAGTTGCATTTATTTGATCAAAAATACAGAAAAAACTGTAATATTGTGAAATATTATTGCAATTTAAAATAACAATTTTCTATTTTAATATACTGTAAAATGTAATTTATTGCTATGATCAAAGCTGAATTTTCAGCATCATTACTTCAGTCTTCAGTGTCACATGATCCTTCAGAAATCATTCTAATATGCTGATTTATTATCAATGTTGGAAACAGCTGTGCTGCTTATTTATTTTTATTTTTTTTTTAGGAACCTGTGATACTTTGTTCAGGATTCTTTGATGAATAAAAAGTTTAAAAGAACAACATTTACTCCAAAAAAAGAAATGTTTTCTAACAATAAATCTTTACTATCATTCACAATTTTTACTATCAAACGCATACTTGCTCAATAAAAGTATTAATTTCTTTCAAAAAAATAAATAAAAAAATTTACTGACCCCAAATTTTTGAATGGTAGTGTAGATTGTAACAGAAGATTTCTATTTTGAATAAAGTGAACAGACAGGACAAAAAATACAGTCCTCTACGGTCAAAAGATCACATCTGTGCATTAAGACTCGCAGTCTGAACACAGACATAATGAACAGGTTTCCCAGCATGCCACTGGTGTTTACACTTTTCAGGAAGTCTTACAGTTGTCTCTGCAGACTTTGAGCTTGTAACTTCAGGAAACACCTTGAGCTCTTCATGAGAAATGGAGTAAGAGACGGTAGAGAAACGCAGCAGCAGCACGTCAGCATGAACTTCTGATTGCAGAAGTCTGGTGAATCTTCGAGGCTTAACTGTCAGTCGATGGCCCAGACGTCTTGCAGACTGACAGGAAACACAACACCACAAACCTGCATTCTGCTCTTGTTTTCGTTCCCATGTTTCCTTCACGCTGCTGATCACTTCACATAACAACTGAGCCTTTAACAACACACACAACTAGGGCTGCAACTAACGATTATTTTGATAATCGATTAGTTGACCGAATATTTTTCCGATTAGTCGATTAATCGGATCTTCTCATTTCTTTCTTTTTTTGACAAAAAACACTTCCACATTCTGCCCAATGTCCTTTAAACAAACGTGTCAACTGAATGCTATGAAAATAGTGCTTAACAATTTATTAGACACACATCATAATAAAGATAAGACCCGACTAATCGATAATGAGAATCGTTGTCGATTATTTTCATTATCGATAATAATCGATTTTATCGATTAGTTGTTGCAGCCCTACACACAACCATGTCCTATCTTTTCATTTACTCAATAATACATTCAAAACATGCAGCTCATACATTCAATAGATTGAATATAACTCTTCTGTGAGTAATGTGATTTTAAAAAATATATATTTTCAGCAGACTCTCATGAACATGTGTCGAGTTCAGCAAGTCATCTGGTGCAGCTCTCCAAAAACTGACTGACATTTATGAATTAAGAATTTATGATAATTGTAAAAAACATTTAAAATAAAGAGAACATAAGAATTTGGCAGGTGGTATTTAACTATATTTTTTATCCGATTTAATTTCTTTTTTATTATTTATTTATTTTCATATTATTTATTTTCTATGTGTGTGTGTGTGTGTGTGTGTGTGTGTGTACATATATATTTACATGTGTGTGAATGTATGTAAAATTACATTTTTTTTACTATTATTTTAATTCAATTTGATCTTTTATTTTATTTATTTAATCATTTATTTATTATTTTTAATGATTGTAACTTAATTTCTTCTGTTCTGGGTTGCTTGGTAAGAGACTGAAATTGTAAAAAGCACTGTCTCTGTACAATTAATTACATTTGTTTATGAAAGTAAAAATAATAACGTGTTTTTAAAAGATTTCCCCCCCTTTTGTTTCTCATTTTTATTTATCTTTTTCTTTAACTGTAATATGGCTGGCAGAGAAGACAATGGAGATGTGGATCTAAGTGCAGCAAATTTAAAGGGGTCATATGATGTTGCTAAAAAGAACATTATTTTGTGTATTTGATGTAATGAAATGTGTTTATGCGGTTAAGGTTCAAAAAACACATTATTTTCCACATACTGTACATTATTGTTTCTCCTCTATGCCCCGCCTTTCTGAAACACGTCGATTTTTACAAAGCTCATCGGTCAGAAAA